TTAACCCCAAGGACACTACTGCCGGGGGTCAGAAGCAAAAGGGAGCTAGTCACGCTAAGCCCCCCTTCCACTGTGGCTGTCCCAGCTCGCAGTGCTACTCTCCTCTTTCCTGGCTTCATTCTCAAGAAGGCTGTCACCAAATGGTAACGAGCATGGCCCCAGAGTCTCTGGGCTTTTATCTCACCTCTTAGCAACACTGGTAGAAGGGAAAACTCCTTAGTGCCAAGAGTTCCAGCAAAAGTTCCAGGACTGACACGGGTCCTGTCCCCTCCCTGCCCCAGTCCTGCGGCTGGGACAAAGTGTGGCATTGCTGTGCTGTGCTCTGCCTGGCCAGGCCTTGCTCTTCCGCCCAGCCCTTGAGCCAGGCAGTGGAATGGGTTCCTTCCTCCAAATCTGTGGGGATAGAAAATGTGAGGGTCTCTTGAGAGGAGAAGAAGGTGTGATTATCCAGATAAGGAGCAATAGATGCTGTGACAGTCACAAACAACAGAGATCCAGTTCAACGGGACCCCTGAAGAGCAGGAACCTCGCCCCTGGCCGGGCCGTCCCTGCATCTTCATCTCCTGACGCAGTGCCCAGCGCGCAGCAGGCAGCTTGTGTTAATAAACTGAGCAGCTGAACAAACGAATGCAGCCAGGGCTATCATCAAAATGACCTTGTGTCATAAGGCACGATGTCCTCAGACTCCAGAGGTGGGAGTCCTCTCTAACGCTCCATGCCTACAGCCTGCTGAATATGGGCCTCTAAGCACAGATACAAAGGTGCTATTTTTTTTTCAGAGATACAATTCTCAGCTCCAGGCATGACTATTGGTAAAAGCACCGTCAGCCTTTTAATTAGGTATCCCAGGAGATCCGGTTGGGAGATGCTACAGGAAGACAAAGCCAACAGGAGGGGGAAGTGGAAATGTCACCCTCGTTAATGCAGCCATTCACAGGAGGAAGGGCCCCCCAGGGCCCTGGTGAGTGTCAGAGGGCAGGTTCCTGCCAAGGGCCTGAAATGAGTGTCAGAACAGCGGCAGAGCCTTGGGGAGTTGGGGGACTTGTTGAACTGAGAAACCAGGCAGAGGGAGGAAGAATATCTCCAGGGCAGACTCTAGCTCCACCTCCCTCCACAGCTCCCTGGGGGATCCAAAGCACTTTCTTCCAAGGTGATCCTGAAATGTGCATGTTGTGGTTATTGCTTATTTATTTCCCATTTATATTAATGTACCCTTAATATGTGCAACGTCTAACTACCCCAGGCAGAGGCCCTCTGACCAAGCGAGAGGGCAGATGAAGGTGCTTGCTGGCGTGTAGTTCCCTTCTCTCCCTGGAGCCCTGCCGGCTCGCTCTGCCCCTCTCTACACACGCCCCAACCAGGCCGCACTGCGCAAGGGGAGACTTGGTGAATGTTGTCCCCAAGGGTCCTCCTGCTGCTACCTGTCACACACAGAAGGACCTGACCGGCCAAGAAGTACCAGAATATTCAAGCCGGGGAAGTTGTGGGTTGTAGCAGGAAGGGCCGTGGACTTGACTGCAGTCCTGAGTTCATGCCAAGCCATGGAAACTTGGACGGGTTGGCCCATGAGTCTCTTCAATTTCCTCATCTATTAAAACTAAAAAGCAAAAGCAAAACCATGGTAGATTCTATGATCTCTAAAGTTCCTTCCCTGGAATTAATAAAAAAAACTTCAATAAAAAAGGGTAAGCCCTTGCCAGCAGGGCCAGGTCTCTTGGGTGTTACAGTTCCCTGTTTGGACGGAGGAGAATCCAATTCTGAGTAAGCTGAGCATCAGGCATCTTGGGGTGGTCTAGGACTGAAGAGAGTTTGCAGAGCCAGGCTTGGGAACAGCATGAACCAGAGCAGATCCAGAAGAAGGTGCCCAGGTACCACACCTGTCCCACTGCAGGAGCATCTGGCCAGGACCCAGCCACTGGAATGCCCTGGAACACCAGCCATGTCGGAAGCCTCGTCTCTTTGTCAAGTAGGGATCACCTACTTGGCCTGGACTGGGTGCTGGGATGGCTGGATCCCAATGATGTTCCCCTAAGACTGTATCTTACAAGGAGGGAACAACTCCCCAAGGGGAATCGGAGGGCCCTGCAGAACAGAAAGAGATGCCAGGCGTGCAGAAAGAAGGGAGACAAATGCTGCCATTCCATCCTGCCATTAGGACCAAATGTGCACCCCTAAGAAGCGTCCAAGGTCACAGTGATTGACTCATCCCCAAACAATAGCTCTAATTCTACCTGTTTCTCCACTGTGCTTTGCAATTTTTCCATGGTGACCAAGAGCCCCGTTGGGCATTAATCTCCCACCAAGTAATTTAAGTAGAAATCTACTGCATACGTAATGAGCTTAGCCAAGCAGACATCCCAGACAATTCTGTAATGGACAGTGATCTGCCAGATTGCACTTACACGCAACACATTAAAATGGTGATCTCTGTTGACTGGGGATGGCGCCTCTGAAATTTGCAGAAGCAAGGTTGGGTGATAAGATCAGAGGCTGAAATCTGAGTTTTCAGTGGGGGGCTGCGCTTCTTAGCAGCCGTGCTGGGTAGCAGCTCCCTCTCGTCATCCCTGAGGCTGTTCCACATTCTCACCCTCTCATTCCCAAGCCCTCACCAACTGCTCCTTCACCTTCTACAATATTTTTCAGCCTCTTTATTTGAATGCAGCATTAGCCCCCCAGGCTGAGCCAAGGACCTGCATTGCTGGTGGATGGGAACAGGCCCTCCCTGCCTCCCTCTCTCCACCCCCTGGTCTCCGAGGCCGCCCATAGCCCCTGCAGGTTAAGCAAAGAGGAGATTAGAAATTATCCAAATCACAACAATTCCCTGGCAGCTTTTGTATGATTGCAGGGTCTGGTGAACTAAAATGTCCAGCTGGGTAATTGAAGGAAACATATTTATTGAAATTCACATGCTTACAGTTGTACTTAGCCCCTGGATATCGGCAAAGCTGACCTGAAAGAGAATAAAAAGCCCCTTGCAGCATTCCAAGTAATCATTCCATACAGGCCCTTTGGGGTTTAACTCTCTGGTGGCAAGAGAGAGCTTTGATTTTCCACACTCCTGGTGCCTTTCAGCGGCTGACAGCTACCAGCAGGGCTGCCAGGACCCGGGCAGGATATAAAAATGCAACCCACCAACACTGACATTTCCCCCTCATAAAAAGCTTTGCCCAAGAGGTGTCAGCGACATGGCCTTGCTTTTCAGATTTCATTTAATGTTCAGAAAGAGAACGGCTTTGATCAGCTGGTGAGTTCACTCTGAGTGACAGCTATAGTTAAGTAGCAGATGGGTTTCTAGAATGAGCACCTAAGATCCTACCTGGGCAAGGTCACCCTGGGCCCTACACAGCTTCCCCAAGACAAACCAAAAAAAAAAAAAAAAAAAAAAAATATATATATATATATCTCAGGCTAAGGCAAAGCGTAGTATGTATTACATGCAAACATACATGCTTTCTTTTAACATAAAAGAGGGCAAAAAGCGCTGTTCCCCACCCAGCTCGAATAGAATCACAGGTCTTTAGAATTCAGAAAAATGACCCAGGTCATCAGAACCTGTCTTCTGCCAGATGCTGGAATCCTTTTCCTAAGCTTCCATGATCTAAACCAGGATTTTAATTAGGCTTCAGTTCATAAGCCCGTCCGTAACCAGTGGGGGCATCCTATAGTTGAAGTTTGTGAGGCCGCATTTCGGTTCATCAGGAAAGTACCTAGCAGCATTTGTGCAAGGCATTTGCTGTCTCCAAATTCAGCTGTCAGAGGTGTTGCTGGTAATGAGACCTCTTTCTTCTGAACAGGCTGGCCTCTGGGGCCTGTGGCATGACACATGACACACGACCAGCCTGAACGGAAAATTGTTAAGGCTTCATTGGCCTCTTAGCCAGCAACTTATAAGTAGGTAATGGGATATCTCAAATACAACCAAAAGAAGAGGTTTGGTTTTTTTGTTTGTTTGAAACTCACTCTGTCACCCCAGGTAGAGTGTAGTGGTGCCATCATAGCTCACAGCAACCTCTAACTCCTGGGCTTAAGTGATCCTCCTGCCTTAGCCTCCTGAGTAGCTGGGACTACAGGTGCACACCACCATGCCAAGCTAATTTTTTCTATTTTTATTTGCCCAGTTATTTTTTCTAGTTTTAGTAGTGACAGGGTCTCACTCTTGGTCAGGCTGGTCACAAGCTCCTGAGTTCAAGTGATCCTCCCACCTCAGCTTCCCAGAATGCTAGGATTACAGGTGTGAGCCACCACGTCCAGTGCCAGAAGTGTATTTTGACAAAGCTTTGTGTCAGACCTGTGGCCTCAATTTGGAGATATTTTTCTTTAGGGATCCCATCCAGTAATCCCACCTCTTACCGTGGTTTTCTTAAGCACCTCAAGATCTATCATAGCACCCAACTGTAAGGCCTGGAAATGTCTAGATGGGCCCACAACCTTGGTACTGAGACTTTTTCCTGGGTCCATGCATGATCCCCAATAACAAGCAACAAAAGACAAGACAAATGCCAAAATGACACAAATCTTACTTAATGGGAAAACGGTGAAAGTAAATATTGTGTCATCAGGAGGAACACAGGCTGGCATCACTGGAGAGTCCACCAGCACACGAGGAAATGCAAAATTTTCTTGAGCAGCGACAGGACCAGATCAAAATAATAAAAGAGCAGTGAATTAATCACCAGCCAGACGAGGCTTGGCTTCAGACCCCTGCCCCCTTACAGGAACTCTGCCTTGCTCGTTCCAGCTCAGGCTGAGTGCCGCAGGCCCTGGGCCGGGGGTGTCCAGAGATCCAGTGGATTGCGGATTGCTCTCTGAAATTACATCTACACTTTGTTAATCCATTCTCCGAATTGGGAGTAAAGTGCATGCTTGCATTCCCAGCAACAAAGGGGTTTCTGAGGTAAAATAGATTGCATAAATCCTATTTAAGGGAATTACGAGAACAAACTGATTTTAAAGACTGCAGCACATTAATGACTGGAATAAAGATGGATACAAGCGATTACCAACGGGTTTCAGAGCTTCCGAAACGGTCCTCTGGGGCCTCCGCGCAGAAACACTTCGTCAGCAATTAGTGGTGCTGCGTGCGTCTGAAATTCAGTATAAGAAGTTAAGGGCTTTAATTTTTAAAAGTAACTCAGATTAGCCTACACACCCCTCCGGCCCCCAAAAGGGGATTTTGTCTGCTTAAAACAAATGCAATCTACAAAGAAAACCTGGATTTATAAAACATATGTAATTAAAAAAAAAAAAAAGATTTGCTGTAATATTCCTATAAACAGTAAATAACCCCTACTGAATCTATTAAATAGCATTTTATTTTTCCAAAAACACAAGCTTAAGAACAACTTCTTAGAAAGATGTCAGTTCTAGAAAGTGACTCATTACTATGGGACAGATTTATGTCAGCAAGTTTAGGACGTTTGATGTGCCCTCCTGTGGGACGAGCCCTGGTGTGAGACAGAGACTGTGGCTCTGTGTGGCCTGTGGCTGCCCCTGGATCCTGTGGGAGCAACAGCCGACCTTCCTGCTGCCAAACAGAGAATGTTTGCCCCTGCGGGCCCAACATCCATGCGTGTATCCAGCAAGGCGGTGGTACTGAGCACCTGCCGGGCACACGCCATATCCACGTGCACGCATACACACAGACATGAACACATGCGTACGGCACACGGGGTGTCCAGGAAGTGAGTGCCAATCTTGAGGGACTGAGAGTGGAACTCTGTCAATGTTTTTTTTTTATTATTATTATTGTCAATTACCACTTCCTCACAACACCCCAGTTTCCTTTCAAGGGGTCACCTCTCTCCTCTTGGATTCATCATGTGGGGCTGTCATCGGGGTGTCCATCCTCTCCTGGTATTGGGCCAGCCAGCTGGGTCCTCCCTCTTGGAACATAACTGAAAGCGTTGGCAATTCTGGGCCAACTGTGTACCGCTGTTTTGACCAGGTGTCCCCTGCCACAAAACGGTAGCTGTGCTGCTTCTCTCTGCTGTGTGGCCTTGCTTTTTACTCCTGCTGCGACTCTCTAAGAGTCTTTAATGCATTCTCCCCTGCAAAGTCAGCTAGAGCCATTTTCTGTTGCTTGTGACCAAATCGTGGTACTAGACCTTGAGCCCCTACACAGGCTCAAAAATGTTCCCTAGCAAAGAAGCGAAGCCTTGCTCCCTCCGGGTTCCGTGCATTCTCTAGTTGCTCACGTTCACCTGCTTCGGGCCTCCTTCTCTACAGTTTTAGGGGACATGGCATCTCTCCTTTTTGAAATTGACCCTTCCACTCAGTAGGGGGGCCAACTCGTCTGGGTTTGCCTGGGACTCACTCAGTTTTAGATTGAAAGTCCCCTGTTCTGAGAGCTCCCTGGGTCCCAATGAACTGAGGACAACTCTAACTCGGAGATTTTATCCCATCTCTTTCTACATAGTGGCACCAGCCTTCCCTACCCCCAACCAATCGTACACTCTTTCGCTCTGATCATCCGCCCCACGCCCACGTTCTCGCACCCGCAGAGGGTTTACGGAGTAGCTGCTGCGACTCATCTCTCCAAGTCTTAAACCCACACGCCACCTCCGCTCCAGACACCACCGCTCTTCCAGCGGAGATGCCCTGTGGACACTTCAGACCGACATATTCCAAACTAAGTTCATTCTCTTCTCACAGACACGGGTTCCCCGTGTCCATGGCTACCGCCACCTTGGAGGCAACATGTCTAAATGGCAATGTGACAGTCAGTACCGGAACTCCCCGTTTGCCCCAGAGAAACACTCGAGTGCGTGTGAAGCAAGCAGGTGCAAGGACGTCCATTACAGCGTTATTTACAATGGCAAAAAAGGAAAGGACCCAATAGTGTCTTACTAGAGGGTGATGGATAAATCACCTATGGCGGATCCCTACTGTGGAATCCAGGCATCAGTGAAAGGGACCCATAACTACTAACTTACACAGCTTTCTAGGTTGGGGCACTGTTCTAAGTCCTTAAGTGTGTAGAGAAAGGTCTGTAACAACATTCCTCTAAATAATAAGTCTTTACCTCGAAGAAGGGAATTGGGTTTCTTGGGAGGTAGTCAATAGTGACTAATGTTTTTTATGTTTTTCTTAGGACAATATTTGCGTATACTATTTGAGTAATAAAAATGAATTTAGGAAAAAAAACAAACAAACACCTTGATTTCACTCCATTCCCCTATCTGCTAATACTGCCACCTTTCTCTAATCGCTCAGACTCAGCCCCTTAGTGTTAGTCTCTGACATTTCCCTCCCTTTATTTCTCCTCTTTAATCAATGAGTTTTCAAGCACTATCAAATCCTTCTGGAGATCAATGTTGGAATCAATGTGCTGGAAATTGCTGCTAATAGGCAAATGTTACCTGAAAGGAGTAGCTGATTAAATGTGTAAACATGCAAATCAATAACAGATAACTTGGCTTGAATTAGATTGTCCCACCTGCCCACACAGACTCCGCAATGGCATGAAGGGAAACCCGCAGGTGGGAGATGGGGAAGGCGGTGGCCCCAGAAAATCTGATACAGGTGGGGGTGGGGCTGGGGCTTCAGAAGGAGGAAGGCCAACGGAGAGGAGGCTAAGCACGACTTTTGCTGAGCACCTGGAGAGGGAGGCGATTAATGTAGAAAAGACCCTGTAGGCAGCTCTCAGGAGGGTTTTAAAATCTCAGAACAGAGCAAATAGCATCTGACTAGAAAGGACTTAGAGGCTGTCCTCATCTGACCCACCAGTTGGTAACTTGAAGCCAAGAGCAGTACCTCTTTTCTCAGTGCCCCTAAAACTTGGAGAGGCCTGGCACAGAGCAGAGGCTTAGTAAATATTGGTTGCATGGATGACATATACAGATAAGGAAACTGAGGCACAAGAGGTGTAGTTATTGGCCTCAGCTCGCAGAGCAAGAGAGAGCAGAGCTGGGAATCTGCCCTAGGTCTCCTGGTTCCCTGACCTAAGCTCCACAGCACACCGATGCTCTCTGCCACTTCCTTGGGAGCTGCCAGCCTGTCTTCTACACACGAACCCCTGGCAGGCATGAGGCACACCCACATGATTTTTTTCCAGTCCACTGTCTCAAGATTCATTTGTAAAGCACGAGTGTTCTGTGCCCCCTCAGTAGCCAAATACCAAGGATGCAGCTGCTCCAGCTTCTCCTGGTAGAGGAAGGGGCTGCCTGTCCCTGTCACACTTTGTGCTTACAGCATGCAATGCTTCCAAGCTCCCTATAATGCCCTTTGACTGCTTGGCGGTTCCACAAGAGCTGCAGGGCGACAGGGAATTAGAAAGCATATCCATTCAAAGAAATAAAATTGTCCCTCCCACCTCCCTCTGGGCTGTGGTCTCCAGGTAGTGAGCAGAATGGAGCTCTGTTTCGGGACTAGAGGCTCTGGCTGTGGGGTAAGGGCTGCTTAGACTCCCTACCAGAACACAGCGTGTTTGATTGTCCTCCCTGCTTCTGAACACACGACATCTCTCCTTTTTGCGAGAACCAAAGCCTACTGAGAGGTTCCCATTCCACCTTCATGAACTTCTCTCCTCAGAGAAGTCCTCCTTGCTCCCTCTCAAAGCCCAATGCAACTGGTCTGTCTGAGCACTGCCAGAGAAAATTCGGCTTTTCTAGGGGCAGAGCCTATGTTGCTCTTTGCGCTGCACATGCAGATTTTTCATGAGCTGCAAGTGGACAAAGGCTTTTAAAATACTCCCATGAAATCTGAGCAGAAAATGTATGTTATATTGAACTGCAAGCAACATAAACCACTGCGTAAAGAGCCCATTTCCTTCTTAGAAGTGATGACTTTGACCCAGACAGTCTTCACTTTGGTCTTCAGAGGGCAGCTCCCACTCCTAGGGGCAGAGTGAGAGATTCCAGACCCCCAAAAGCCTTCAAATCACACCCCATCAATATCTTTGCTTCAAAGCAGGGCTTGGGATGGACCTTGATAAAGGGGAGAAGGCTCTGTTCTAGGCACTACTCAGCATGTTAATGCTTACACCCCACTCCTGGTACCAGGTCACAAAACTCAGTTCTCTGGTGCCATTCACTGGATATTTGCCATATTTTCTCTCCTGAGTCAATACCCCCAGAGTTCCAACATCACCCTTCTACCTCCTCCACCCTTCCAATCTCCCAGGAGAAGCCCAGCTAAGGGCTAGGGCAAGCAATCAGAAGGCATTAATTTAGAAATTTCTGTGGTGCATCAGTAGCTCAGATACCAATATAACAAATATAATAAATATTTCAAGAATCTCAGGCTTCAATGTGCAAAAAGAAATGTAGCTTTCTTAATTTCTAGAGCTGACTTTAATTTTGATTTAATTTCTGGCTCTGAGCCTCCAATGTGCCCTGGAGCAAGTAAAATAATATAATCCATTTGGAGATTTCATATTTCAATGTGATTTTTAAAATTAAATCTGGAATCATTAACTCTTTCTCAGTATGATTTAAAAATTATTGCAATGCCATGTCTGTCTGCACTTTCATTTTTTCCAAGCACCTCTAACCTCCCGGGGACACTGAGTGACCTTGCCAGCCACAGCTGAGAGCAACAGTGGAGAGATCGCCTTTGTAGTTGGCACAACTCTGACGGGGCTGAGAAGGAGCAGTCCATCCTGATGTCTCCACCGGGCTCTGGCTGTACCACCTTGAGTGCCCCAGCTGCATGGCCCCGGGACCAACACGGTGGTCTCTGATGATCTTGACTGACTCTACTCTCGTGTGCCCTTCATATTCCTCAACTCAGGACAGAGAGAAATGTTGAGAACCTTACTCTTTTGCCTGTGACAAGTGTGCCAATCTAAAAAGGGGACTGGGTCTTAGACTATGCCTACATGTTCCACACTACCAGGGCTCTTAGGTTCAAAGCCAAGAAATAACCTGCTACCCTCCCTCATTCATGAAAACTCTTTTCCATCACCTGGGGCTGTGAAGGGCAGAGAGTGGAGCATGCAAAGGCTACCTACTAAGGCGTCTTTATTGTGAAGCTAAAGTTTAAGCTTGAATGCCCTCTGCCTTCGCAGCCCACTTCCACGTTCCTGGGAGGGACCCAGCAATATTTTCACGCAGTCATTTGTTATTCAAAAGTAAAATATTTTCAT